GTCTGTGTAAACACCTTTTGAAAGAATTATTTGAAATGTCATAATCTTATAATTTGGTAATGAAATTGCATTTATTTTTATCCGTATTCCTTAAAAGTACTAAAAGAATTGTCATTAAGGAGCCTGAAGCTTCAGAAGAGTTACATTTACAGTTCCCTTTTCTACTGCCGATAGAGCCTATGCCATATTCCTTTAATTCTGCTTTAATCAGGGTGATTAGTGGTCAAATTCCGATCTTCATGCTTTTTCTGAGATTCTAGACTGGCCCAGATGAAGCGTACCATTTGTGGATGTCTGAACTGTGTAGCATACCACAAATTTCATCACGGTGGTGCGTATAGGTTTTTGGAGTTGTTTTCACAGCCGACTGGAGGCCGATATTTTTGTCAGTGTGTGTTCGTTATCTCACCTCCCTGATGAGCACCGTTGGATGTGTTTGTAGAATGTATGTGTGTACGTGACAGGGCAGGGTTGCGAGGTCAGCGGTGGGTTGGCTGGTAGACAGGTGACAGCTGCTCCCACTGCTCAGACTGCAGTGAAGTGGAGACAGCGCAGACTGCGTGTTATTCTGCCCTAAACACAACAAACATGCACAGGGCAACCATAAACATAAAGCATAAATAACAGGCTAAACCCTTGCATATGAAATGCCAATTGACCCTGGTTTTCCAATGATAAAGCAATAAAGCTATATTAGGTTAATGCTTGAAATCGTGATCATCAGGATGTACACATTCATGCAACTCGATTGCTGCTGTCATTGAAGCAAAAAGGGCACCAAGAGAAAAAATGATGTTGCTTTGCATCCTAAGAACTTTAAATCCCTTTGCGCTCACCTGGGTTTTGATGTGGCAGTCTGACATCAAACGTCAGACCACATCTGAAGTTTGCCTGGTCTTAAGTTTTGTTGATAGTTAAGCACAATTTTAAGCTACATTCATTATAACTAGTCATTATAACTCTAGGTAAAACAGAGGGTTCCTTACTGAACAGCCTCAGTTTTGGCCGAAAGTCACTTCACATGCATTTTTTTATAATGTAAAAATAGCTAGAAATCTTGTAGCATGGACAATGATTTTTTTTTAATTCTATATATTTCCTCTTCATTAACATTTGTCAATGGGTATCTTCATTTGTTCTTTTGTTTCTTTGTTTGTTCATTTGTTTTTTTTGTTTTTACAGAAAATGTAAGTTATATTAAATTAATTAACCAATTCATTTTGGTACTCCAGAAGTTCAAGAACTGTATGTCCTTCAATAAAAGCCATATTTATTGGGATTAAATATTTCTGAATTTAATTAGCCAATTAATTTAGATTAGACATCCTGCATCTCTAGCACCTCCTGCACCATCCTTCTGACTAGTTTATTTAGAGTTTTAGTATCATTATTATTGTTTATATTTTTAGTGATGGTTATTTAAATCCACTGATTCCAACAGTACATTTCAAGTACATTCAAGAAAGTTACAGTGATAGTTTTGGGCAATAAAAGTCTGTTTATTTGTTGAATATCTGTTTGCCTGTGGTCTGTGTGTTCCTGCATTGAGCCTGTGCTATTTTTGAAATGTTGGTCTTTATACACAAGCAAACGTTTTTGTCCGTTTCGTCTCGCCTTGCTGTTTTTTTCAGCGTCTTACGTCATGAGCATTGCATTTCTAAGACTGACACATTGAAAATGTATAAACACGTTTCGAGACCCTTGCATTCTTCTCCATTGTTGCATTCAGCGTTTTTAACACAAGGCATGTCCTGTTTGAACGGACGCAAAGAAATGCACTTGACCCTATTTATACATAGCTTCCTGAATAACTTGTTATTTTTGAATATGCATGTGTTGCTATAGAATTCAAACGGATTAGGAATGAAATAAGGGGTGATCTATCCATTTAACACAACAGTAAAAATTAAGTCTTACAGGTAAACTGGTGCACCCTAAACTCAGTTTGCTGATTGACGTAAATGTCTCTTTAACGATCTCAGTGTGAATTGAAATGGGTGATCCTCTGGTCTCAGCAAATTTGATATTCAAGCAGTCAGCCAGATTGCAGTGTAGCCTCTCTCTCTCACACAGAGTGTGTGTGTGTGTGTGTGTGTGTGTGTGTGTGTGTGTGTGGTGGTATTCTTGCAATTACAGGGTGGGCAGGGGAACAGGCAGAGGGAAAGCCTGCACCCATACAGGCATGATATAATAGCAGAGGTTTACCACTAGTATGCAGCTGCCAAGGTTTCAAAATATCAGCCACTATTTAGTGCCTCCATAGACCCACTTTTTATGATATGGTCTCGTATACCCAGCCTATGTATTTGAAATAGTATGGGTTTTACCTTGTGACTGTTTTGATGGTAGGAATACTTCTTAGCACAGTCATTTGTAAAAACAGCATTAAATGTGCTAACTTCTTTTTAAAGAGAGGAAAGCTTAGTGTCTCGATTAACAATTTTTCCATCTGAAATGCAGCAATTTGTGGGCTTTAATGACTGAGGAGATTTTATTTTCACTGCTCTGTTTCTCTCAGAATATGTTTTGCACAGCTCCCATTCTGTAGCCTATCATTTTTTCTGTGTTTTCCAGTGATCTTCACGGAAATGTGTTCTTTTGTTTTGCTTTCAGAACACCATGATTTCTTGCATGAGGCTAAGCTGCAGTGTGTTGTTGTTTACCAACCAGGATTGACTGTTAAAGGGATAGCCCAAAAATGAAAATTTGGTCATCATTTACTCATCGTCTTGTTGTTCCAAACCAGTATGACTTTCTTCTGTGGAACACCAAAGATCCAGTGTTGTTTTGGACCTCACTGGCTTTCACTTTATGAACAAAAAATTCTTCAAAATATCAAGTTTTGTGATATTTTCCGATCTTTCCACAAGCCAGTTTTGCGTTGTATCCATGCAATGATACTAGGAAAGCACATGGAATGGAATCTGTAAAACACTGTTTACATGAAACAAACAAGAAGTACGTCAGTAATAATACAGCATCAAAAGTTCAACCACTTAGGAAAGCAGTCTCACAAAAACTGAATATCAACTTTTTCCACTGAGGAATTTATGTAAATTAGGCTTTTATGATATTTTTTCACAACAACAAAAAAGGTACTTTTTTCATTGCATTAATGTATACTCCCATTGAAAAGTTTAGGGTCAGTAAGATTTTTTTTTAAGGAATAAGTACTTTTATTCAGCTGGATGCGTTAAAATAAATTGATCAAATGTTACAGTAAAGACTTTTACATTCTTACAAAAAAAATTATATTTCAAGTAAATGCTTTTGAACTTTCTATTCATCAAAGAATCTTCAAAAATATATTACAGTTTCCAAAAATCAGCACAACTGTTTTCAACATTGATACAATGAATCAGCATATTAGAATGATTTCTGAAGGATCATGTAACACTAAATACTGGAGTAATGATGCTGAAAATACAGCTTTACCATTAGAGGAATATATTGCATTTGAAAATATATTAAAATAGAAAACAGTTATTCTAAGTTGCAATAATATATCACACAGTATTACTGTTTGTGATCAAATAAATCCAGCCTTGGTGAGCAAAAATGATAATTTCTGATCAACCACACAACTTTTGAGCAGTAGTGTATATATAGATAAAGTTTTTTTAAGAAGCATGTAGAGTTATTTAATTAGACAAAAACTGTGTATTGCAGTGTGAATCATCGATATCTTTTGCCCTGTTTTCCCAGAAGAAAACGAAAAATATGAATTTTTCCAATATTTAGAAGTACACTAACATATTGATAGCTTTAAAGCTAACAAAATTCTTGATTATGATATTATGGTGTCTTTGATGAGACCCCTTATGGACCCTGTCTGATCTACTTCTCTTCTCTTACCAACACCTTTTTTTAATCAATCTCTTCCATTGTAATTTTAACTGCCAGCTCACCAGAATATCATGTTTACATGAATCAGCAAATAACTCCAGTGTGTTCAAATAAACATGCAAAGGGCACAGGCACAGATTAAAGAGACCTATTAAACAGTAAAAACCTCCCAAATTGGCTGTTGGTGTTTTTCATCTTGTTCCAGCGGCTTTTATTAGGCAAGGTGCTCAGACGGTTAACGGAGAGGACAGTCGGAGCGTCCCGCAGTGTGATGCAGGGGTCTGTATGGTGCTCATTATGGATGTGAAGCACGGGCTGTGTGGCACAGCACTCACAGCCTGCTGCAGTAGAGAAGGACGGCCTCCCGCATGGGGCGTAATTAAGGCTGGGGAAAACACGAGCCCTCATTATCTGCTGTACGAGATCTCCCACTATACTGTACTTCAGTTATGACCTTTCAAGGGTTCACCTGATGGAAGTGATGTCAGCAAGATTAGACAGATGGAACTGGTTAAGAACATACAGTATAGCGTTTTAAACTGATTCACAGAGGTTTTCTGTGAGATGTTCCTACTGTATTTGAACAACAGTTAGTCTTGAATTTGGTGAGTCATTCAAAAATGTTTTATAACTGACTTTTTCACAACATTTGAGGTATCGACTTTCAACAGATTCTGTTGACAATGGCAACAATTTATAGATAAATAGCATGTACCTTAGGTATATCATAAACAATTTGATGTGCTAAACCAAAAAAACAAATAATTCACTCTTAACACTAAATGTTCTTTACTGGCATTGATGGTTCCATGAAGAACCTTTAACATTCATGGAATCTTTTCATTACACAAAACATTCTTTATCATAGAAAAACGTCCTTCAGTAAAATTGATGGTTCGATGAAAAACCTTTTCATTCATGGAACCTTTCCATTCCACAAAAGGTTCTTTATAGTGGAAAAGGGTTCTTTAGATTATTAAAATGTTCTTCATACTAAGAAAAAAATGGTTCTTTTAAGAACTGTTCACTGAAAGGTTCTTTGAGAAACCAAAAATGGAACTTCTGTTGCATTGCTCCAAAGTGTTGAATGGAAATTTTGGCTACTGTTAATCTATTTCCTATATCATTCTTCCTGATGATCTGTATCTCTCCAGGTGTGTGGGCCAACAAGGTTGTGGTTCCTGAGCAGGTGACTGCAGTGCTGGGGAAAAACGTTACTTTGACCTGCAGGATGGAGGTCAGCACAAACCTCAGTCTGACCCAGAGTTCCTGGGAACGCCGTCTGCCCTCCGGCACCGTAACTTTGGCTGTCTTCAACCCCCAATACGGGACCTCCATAGCTGACGAGTACAGCAAACGTGTGCACTTCATCAAGCCCTCAGTGTATGATGTATCCATTGTCCTGCAGGGCGTGGGGTTTGCAGACATTGGGACCTACACTTGTAAAGTTGTCACGTTCCAACTTGGAAACATGCAAGCATCCACAACTGTGGACATTATGGGTGAGTATATCTTTGTGGACAGTTTGTACACTATATAATTGTATAGGTGTGAATTCCTTGAGGCGAATCATTTTGTGAAACATTAGAATTAGTGCTGGCAAACGATTAATCGCGATTAATCGCATCCGAAATAAAAGTTTTTGTTTACATAATATATATGTCAAGTCAAGTCAAGTCAAGTTTATTTGTACAGCGCTTTTCACGATACAAATCATTGCAAAGCAACTTTACAGCAAATTAAGTTTCTACAATATTTAGTGGTAGCTTATCATTTCTGAAATGTATACATGCATGTGTCTGTATTTATATATATATATATATATATATATATATATGTATAATAAATATACACAGTACACACACATATATTATGTAAACAAAAACACATCTATTTATTTATTTATGCATTTATTTATCCAAGGCACTTCAAAGTGATTAACTGACATTCCAAAAATTCTCTATTGAAAACAAGACTGGAATTATAGGGAAGTGATTTAGAAGCTTCTGCTTATTTTTGTAGATTGTAATTATAGAAAGGGCTGGAAACACCCTTCACTGAGCCCCTTTTCTGCTCGAGTGAAACTGCGTTGTCAAACACTACAGAGATGACAAAAATATGTGTCACACACTGGCGTGATAGCACTTAGCACATTCCTTCTATTTTGATTTGTGTGGTGCCATTTTTTCCTCCTTGTTTATTTCCTGCGTTCCTGGCAAAACCTAAAAACAGAAGCTAATCTTTTCCCTATTATAAGTGGTAAAACTTCTGAATTTTATCGATCCAGTCTGAAATGGTATTACTGATTCAGACGTTAAAGCAAAGCCCTATTAGTCATTGGCATTTTCACAGCAAAGTGATAAATTTACCCAAACCTCTAAAACTATAAATTCACTGGCCAATAAGCTGCTTTGAGTTTGTGTGTTTTTTGCACACAAGCTTGAAGCCGCCATCCCTATTCCTGTGAATTTAACAATGATGAATCATCGGAATGAATTCTCAATGACCGTGTGAATTTTTACAATAAAACACATCAAATGCGGCACGCAAGCTAAACGGTATAATTTGTACCCACAATTCATTCTTTTCCTTTTTTAACATAATTACTTTGCTTTCACTTGGAGTCCATTACAATGACACAATTGTTTGGGGAACTGTGGTTTTGGCGACAACCCTGGTCTGCAACCCAGAGCAGGAATGTTTTGGGTCTGCATTTGTGTGGGGGCGACAGTGACCCGGCCCTAATTCCTGCCCCGTCTAATGATAAATCAATACCCGGACCTTCTCTTGGGCCTTCGGCAACCCACAACCTGCATGTCAGATCAGCTGGTTCTCCACTTCTATCAGGAGGGTTGGGTGTGAATGAGTTGCCAAGATGCCCCTGCAAGCTCTGAGTCAGCAGAGCTCCAGCGTGATGCAGATGGCATGGAGTTCAGGTTAGATCTGATTTTGGCATTCGGATGTCAGCGCTCTGTGATACACTGTGGGTCCCCACCATTCAGGTGCCGCAGGGCTATATTTAGCATTAGGGGTCCCTGGGGTTATTTCGATTTGTCGTATACGGGAGCGGCCTGTAAACAGAGTAGAACAGGTGTGTGGAGCAGACGGCCTTGCGTGTAGGATTAAGTTGACGTTCCTGGCCCACATGTCCAAACTGTTTCTTAAGAGCGCAGCTGTTGCAATTCTCTAGAGAGAGTGATGGAGAAAGGAAAGAGGGAAAAGGACAAATTAAAGTAGTATTGATACGATTTTATTAATAGAGGATATTATGGCTGCATTCACAGTTCACTGTGGCCCAAACATTGCCAGTTTCATGCAATACACTACTAGATTTTTATACTATTTAAAAAAAATTTTTTTTTATAGTTTTATTCAGCAAGGATGCATTAAATTGATCAAAAGTGACATTAAAGACATTTGTAATGTTACAAAAGATTTCTATTTCACATAAAAGAGGTTCTGTCATGACAACTCTCTGAGGGATTGGCATGGTAATGTACATGACAATGTTAATGTATTTGGTCTTGGCGGAATAGATCTGCTACGCTGCTGCTGCTGCTGCGGCAGAGCAAGTACCGAGACTTGCTACCGCCAATACATCCACAACATGCTGCTGTGAACATGTAAGAAATATTGCTGCTGCAAATATAACATACATGAAATAACCCCCATATAGCATACATGAATCAACTCATAGCAGATCTATACAGGTGGAGCTTGAGAAGGTGGAGGGTTTCTGAAGAAAGCTGCAACTGCTACGGCAAGCACTAGTCATATATTTGAATGTTGAGCAGCGAGCTCATTGGCTACTGATACAGGAGAGAACCAATCAGCTGTGCCATGTGATAATGATGTCATTAGGTCAGATTGAGTTAGACCTATCGGACTGCGCCATTTAGAGTTTCATGCCAGAACTCTGTATTTCTGTAAAACTTTCTATTCATCAAAAAATTAATCTTGAAAATAATTTGATGAATTACATAAAAATATTAAGCAGCAAAACTATTCTAGATATAAATGTTTCTTGTTAGAATGATTTCTAAAGGATCATGTCATATGACACTGAAGACTGACGTAATGATGCTGAAAATTCAGCTTTGCCATCACTGTATATTACATTTTAACATATAGAAAACAGTTACTTTAAATTATAATAATATTTCACATTGTTACTGTTTTTACTGTATGTATATTTAAAAACATTTACAGACTCCGAACATTTGAACAGTAGCGAATGTGACAGTATCAGCAGGGACCTATGCATTATTATTAATACGTTATTATGTCAATAATGGGTTGTGATTAAATACAATTGTAGCTTTATATGTTTAATGTATTACTCAAATCTGTGATATTTTACTACTTTATTTAAAAAGAAATACCATATAAAATGTAACAGAAATGTTTAAATGTGTTTGTTTAAAACAAATTATACATTTGCAATATATAGTTATAATTAGTAGTAGGGTGGTGGTGGTTGTATTTTAAAGAACAGGTCACAATTATTATGTTGTCATGTTAATGTTAATGCTGATGCATTTAAAACTATAAGTTTGTCTAATTTCATGTAATTACAAAACATTATATCATATTCAGTGTATTTGTTGATTACCTTATAATGAATATGCCAAAGTAGGGAGTTATATGAAGGTGTGTTGCCGGCGTATAGTGTAGTATAAGGATATATGGACCACATTTATAAGGTCCCATGAATATCCTCACAAACTGAATTTGCACAGAAAATTGAAATCGGACACTGGCTTGTAGTGTGAATGTAACCTTTGAGGTGAGTGGTCTCTTAGCTAATGTTATTTCAGAAGTAAAAACAATAGCTGAAATTGAATCAGTTGTTTTAATTCAAGCAGTGTGGGGTTTTGTTGCTCAGGGCAGCTGAACATTTCCCAATAATTGATTCGGCTGTAATACACAATGTGTGTTTCCTTTTGTTCTCTTTAAATACATGTAGACTCTCTCAATAATATTAAGACACTAATATGCCACTTTTCTGTAGAGACAGAAGCCACTCAGACGCACTCAGGGATGTTGTTGTACTCCTACCTCAGCACTCAGTAATTTCAGATCATCCATTTTTAATGTGAATTTGTAGGGTTGGTGTAATAAATCAATTCTGAGTGTACTAAGGCCAGTTTCCAATCTTTACATGGTTTCTTTTTTCCCCTCCTTCCTTATTTATTCATCTTGTTGTATATCATCCTGTAGGGTCAATATCAATAACTCATTTTGTACTGTTTTTTTCTGACCCTTCCATATTTTTATTATTTATTTCTTGTTTTTCCCGAGGCACGTGTATTTCGAGTAATCTTGTAGACAAGTATTGTAATATACTTTATTTTTATTTTCCTTTAAATGTATCTTTTATTCTTTTTAAAGTATATAAAAGCAGTAATATACAGTAAAAGTAGTAATTTTGTGAAATAATATTATAAGTTAAATTAACTGCTTTGTATTTGAATATGTTTTAACATGTAAATTGTTATATATATATTCTAACAGCTAAATTTTCAGCATCATTACTCCAGTCTTCAGTGGATTTTTATCAATGTTGAATTTTTTTGATCAATTTTGTATTTTTATCAATGTTGAAATCAGTTGTGCTGCTTAATATTTTTGTGGAAACCATGATACATTTTTATAAATGTCTTTACTGTCACTTTTGATCAATTTAATGTGTCCTTGCTGAATAAAAGTATTAATTTCTTAAAAAAAAAAAAAATGTTGACCACTAATGTGTTTTTAAAACAAATATACATTTTGTTTTATACACAAATGCCTTTAACAGATGTTCAAAAATAATATACTTTAATAAAAACAAGATTTAAAATAACATCTTTTACCCTGTAAGCATCTTCAAGCTTATTGTTCAGTTTTGTCTCTTTCTCATTTTCTCCCTTTAGTGGAGCCAAAGGTCTATGTGTCTCCTGGTTCCTTGTCTCTGTTGGATGGAGATGGTAAAACTCTGGTGGCGACATGTACAGCTGAAAGGGGTCGTCCAGCAGCAGAGGTCTTCTGGGAATCAGACCTGCCGGGCCAGACAGCAGTCGTCACACAGCCGGAGCCTGAAGGCACTACCACCACTTTAGTACACTACGTCTGGGCCCCCACCCGGGATGCATTTGGTCGGTCCCTCAGCTGCGTTGTACGTCACCCGGCCCTATCCCAGGATTTCCGCATTCCCTACCGGCTCAATGTGTTTTGTGAGTGTGAATTGCTTTTATCAAAAAAAAAGTTTCTCCTGTTTTGTATTTCAAGATCTCCGTGGGTTTCCTGTATGTTACAAGGAGCGCTGATTGCTCACTTTTGACACTCTCATACTCACAAGATGTCAATTTAGGAGTAATTTTAACATCTTAATCCTCAGTGTGCTTCCCTTTGGCATCTTGAACTGTTGGCTGCTGTCTGTTTGAACGGCACGCTGCTTAATGGAGGCGCTTTATGAAATATTGATCTGAGCACAGCAAGGGCAGCAACAGGAGCGGAAATACAAGTGGGGGAGTTCATACTGACAGAAGGAGGCTTTAGGACTCAATAAATCACACATTGCCTTCCAAAGTGTTTAAAAGTGAGAAAACTACTTTTGAGTTTTACAACCTCATATATTTATTAATACGAATGCTTTTATCATAGACAAAGCTTACCATGCAAACACAACAACAATTTGATTTCTTTTTGAAGTCTTGTTCAGAACATAAATCTTGCATAAATTTAGTGATATTTATGCTTCACATAAGAACAAAACAATAATGTGAAGAAATCTAAATTTAATGCAAGATAATATTTTAACATGTTAAAAACATGACCAGTTTTTAACTCTCATTCTCCTCGAGGTTGCATTTATATGATCACAAATACTGTAAAAAAAATAGTGATACTGTGAAGTATTACTGCAATTTAAAATAACTAATTTCTATTTGAATATTTTTAAAATGTAATTTATTATTATGATGTCAAAGCTGAATTTAAGCAGAATTGTACTCGTCTTCAGTGTCACATGACCCTGAAATTTAGTGATATTTATGCTTAAAATGAGAAAAAAGTTATAATCCATCAAAAAAAATATTAATTTAATACAAGATATATTGTAATTGAAAGTATGTGTACCTACAGTGTAATTAAAGTGTACTTAATCAAGAAAGTACTGGTTAGTATAAGGTTACTACATTGGTTAATGTTCAGGGTTAGTACTACCTAGTCATTACCCAGTTGTTGTAATATATATATATATATATATATGTATATATATCTACAGTTGTGCTCATAAGTTTACATACCCCTTGCAGAATTGAAACAAAATAAGAGGGATCATGACAGTTGCATGTTATTTTTTATATATGTCCTGAATAAGCTATTTCATTCACATAACAGATGTTTACATATACTCCACAAGACAAAATAATAACTGAATTTATAAAAATGACCCATTCAAAAGTTTACATACCCTTGAATCTTAATACTATGTGTCATTTCCTGGATGGTCCATGACTGTTTTTATATTTTGTGATAGTTGTTCATGAGTCCCTTGTTGGCCTAAGCAGTGCAACTGCCTGCTGTTCTTCAGAAAAATCCCCCAGCTCCTGCACATGATTTGGTTTTCCAGCATCGTCTGCATATTTGAACCCTTTCCAAAAGTGACTGTATGATTTTGAGATCCATCTTTTCACACTGAGGACAGCTGAAGGACTCATACACAACTATTACAGGGGGGGGGGGGGGGAACTTGTGAACATCACACTGAGGACAGCTGAAGGACTCATACACAACTATTACAGGGGGGGGGGGGGGAAACTTGTGAACAGGATGATAATGTGTAAATTCTTTTCATTTTGTTTAACGATCATATTTTTTCATTTAGTACTGGACTTCAGAAGCTACATAAATACTTACATGTTTCCCAGAAGACAAAATGAGTACAATTTACCCTGATCATCCAATTTAAAAAGTTTACACCCCCCGTCTCTTAATGCATTGTGTGGCATTCTTGAGCATCAGTGCATGTTTTCTGTATATATTGTAATATGCTATAATAAGTACATAGCAAGTAACAAGTACATATGTTATAATAAGTACATAGTATGTACACCTGTACATACCATATTTTCTTAATAAGTCTAAACATCTCTCTTAGTCTTATGCTGCTCAAGCAAATTTTTAATAAAGTTTAGAATATTTTATCAAAACAAGACAGATTTACAGAATCTTTACAGTGCCGTGTTTAAAAGTGCAATTGATTTGCATTGTTCAATAAGAAACTTGAACACTGGCTATTTTGATGAGAATTTGATCATGTTATTGTTATATAGACTGCTGGGGTTGAATCTCAAGGCTCTCTGTTTCACTCCTGAATATTCTCTCCATATCACACATCAGTTTATTTTCTCAGCCACAGCTAAGCCTCAGTATACTGAGGTTTCTGTGTAATTGAGTTAGCCAATCACATCTCCCCTTGCTGTTTCTGGGACTCACGTCCATAGCGTGAGAATGGTTTCATGCTCAATTTGAATGTCTTATAAAAATAATATGAGTTTCATTGCTTAGAAATTGTTCTTTACAGAGTACTGCATTAAGTGAATTTCCAAAGTACAGTAGCATTTATATGGATTAAAGGGATAGTTCACCCCCAAAAATTTAATTCTGCCATAATTTTTTACTTTTAAAATAACTTAACTTTTTTTGTTTCAAACCTGTATGACTTTCTCTGCCATTGAACATAAAATGAGAACAATTGATATATGGTACACAAGTCATATTTTCTACTTTTATGGGACTTCATGGTGCTTTTTGCCATTTTTAGAATTTGTCAGCCCCAATTTTGATTCATTTTCATTGTATAGAAAAGAACAGCATAGACATTTCACAAAATATTAGGACTGGGTTGACAATATCCATTACTTGATTTTAATCAATATTAATTTTGAGGAATCAAGATAAATTCTTAAATCACAAGAATCAGTCTTTGAATTGTTGAAATACTTTTTTTTATGACAACCACCATTTAAATGTTTATATTTCAACAACAAATTGGAAAACATTTCCAATACAAGTTGATATAAACTGCCTTATGTTCAATTTACAGTAAATATTTATACAAATAAATATTTAAACCTATTAATATAATTAAGAAGTTGATATAAACTGCCTTATGGTCAATTTACAGTAAATGTTTATACAAATAAATATTTAAGTGTTGATTATAATATCTAAAAATGAATAGCAAATGAATTTAATACGGTAGATACATTTTAACCTTTAACTTTATAGTAATGTACTAACTAGAGGTCCCCTATGTAGTTTACAACATTAGTTAAGAGATATTGAATATATAAATTGACATGTACTGTATCTGATATATATTCAGGTGAATTGAAATTAAATCAAGAGTGAGTCAAATGAAATTGAATTGATTGCGTGAAATATGTGTTAATACCCAGCCCTGCAATGTCCTCTTCTGTGTTCTGTGGAAGAAAGAAAAGGGTTTAGGTTTTGCTAAGCACTATATATTTTTATAGCAAGGCGATCATATTATTTCTTTATGCAACAATGATTTAAATTATGTTCCAGTTTCTCCAGATGTTATGGTGATGGGCCAGCAGGATGTGTGGTACATGGGACAAAAAAATGTACAGCTGGACTGTAGAGCCAATGCCAACCCACCTGCTCTTTTGTACCTCTGGACCAGGTCTGTGCACAAAGTTTGCTACTTCTAATCTTATTGGACATGTCATTTCAATGGTAAACTTCAGCTTGTTTTAAAAGAGAATTCGAGGTTGCTTCAGGGTGGCTTCCTGCTGCAAAACTTGTCAACAAGCTCTAAACTGATAATCGTGTCTTTTGTCACTCCTCAGACTGGACGCCCAATGCCTGCAGGTGTGGACACATCTAATGGCAGCCTGGTGTTTACTCGTCCTTTAGAGCCGAACGACTCTGGACAATACAGATGTGAAGTTCAGAACGACGTTGGACAGAGCTTTAAGGATGTACGCTTCCTGGTACAAGGTGAGAAGTTTCTTGTAACCTTTCAGCTCCACAGATACTAATGATGATGTTTTCTCCATGGGAGGCTGAAGTTTGAGGGTGGATCACTGGTTGATAAATTATGTCCTGACATTGTCTCTGCCTTCGTGAAACAGACACCATTCATACTTACCCACACAGGCATAAACAAAATGCCAAGTTGGTGACTCGGTGAAGCTGGATAAAAAAAATTATAAGGTTCAAACACAAGAGTTTTAGTGACTCATAATTGAGCAAACTCTATTGTTCTCCATAGCATTGCTGAAAAAAACAATAGAAACCATCACAGAAATTCTAAAGGTTTCCACTACAAATACCATTACAAACATAACAAACCATCAACTTTTAACCATTAAACAGGGTTCCCACGCTTCTTGAAAGTACTTGAAAGTACTTGAATTTCAGACATATGGATTCAAGGCCTGGAAAGTACTTGAAAACAAACATAGGTCCTTGAAAGTGCTTGAATTCCATTTGAAAAAAAATTGTTTATGCAGGGATTACGCTACGACGGATTTCTGTCAATTGGAAAAAAATTAGGGGAAAAGAAACATGTAGCGCATTGTTGTTGTTCTGCCGGCACACCAAAAATCATCCCCACCACGGCTGCAGCTT